TTATTGTTATATAATTATGAGCCAAAAGTTTTGAACGTTCAAATGAACAAAATTTTTTTTCCAACTTCTTTAAGTACGAATTTTATTACAAAATATTGTTTTAAATATCTAAAAAAAAAATTATTAATTTAATAATTGTTTAATTCACTGTTTTATTTTACATTGACATAATAATTTTTCACAATTTATAGATTGAAAAAAATATTTCGTTCATTTGAACGTTCAGAACATTTGGCTTATAGTAAATTAAATTATATTTGTTTAAAATACAGAAATTATTGTGAAATAACCGATTATTTGAAGCAAATTTTTTTTCATTGCAAAAAAAAAAAAAAATTGAATATTACTTTAAATGGCAAAAGTGGATCTGATATAGATTCACGGAAAAAAATTAATCTTCACGTTCAAAAGAGGCAGGTGGAAACTGAAACCTTTTTTTTAATGGCTGACTTTGCAGAAAAAAAAGAAGATTTTCGTTTTTACTTTCATCAACTACAACGAGAGTGCATCAGCAGGTAGACCTTTTACGTCGGGGAATTTCGAGCACTGAGAGCTGAGCTGATATCTGGGATGCTGTGGAATATGAAGAAAACCAGCAGGTCAAAACATGAGTGGAAAAATAGAAGAAGAATCTGAATAGGAAGAGAAAGAGAGATGGGGAGAAGAGAATAGCGTTAAGAGGGTTTCATGGATAAAGAAGAGAGAGAGAGATGCTCCAAGAACTTACACAAGTGGTGCTCAACCTGACATTTTTATTCTCATCTTTCATAAAACTTAAAAAGGGAAAACGGTCCAAAATCTATCATCAACATTTCATGGAATTAATCTCAAGGGGAATTGAAAAAGCAATTTTCACTTTAAAACATTTCGAGTTGGAAAAAGGAGAAGAAAAAAAGAGATATTACATTTGCTTAAATAAATACCCTATTAAAAAAAAAACCCAATAAACAAATTAAAAATAATTTTAAACATTTTTGTGTGAAAAATATTTTTTTTCAATTGTTAAACGTTTATAAATGTACTTTTTGTTGAAGAAAATAAATAGAATATTGAAAAAAAAGTACAACATTTTGATAAATGAATTGTCATTATTTGTAAAAAAAAAAAAAAATTCAAGTCTCTTTTGGAAATGTGTACATAGAAATACCTTCTGCGAACAATGTTCATGAAAGTAATAAATCAAGGTTACCCTTATATATTTTTCCTTGTCCGGGGACACAAATCGATCATTTACGTGTATCATTGCAATAAATATATATTTTGTAACTGACTGGAGAAACGGTTGAGTCATTTTACGTCAATATAACGTCGTGCAAATATATACAAAAGTTAATTACAACATAGTCAATTTTTCTCTGAATAAATAAATAAATAAATAAAAAAAAAATACGAGTTCTCAATGAAGGTCACGTATCATTTCAATCATTTAAAAAAAAAGAAAATATTAACTCGATAAAACAATTCGTTTTTTTTTTGTTGCTACAAAAATTAATTTAAAAAAAAAAAATTAATATTTCCATTATTTATCATAAATAATGGTAAATATTTAAATACTAATTTTATTTCTAAATATATTAACATAAAAGTTGATTTCACTTGAAAATTATTTAAAAATTAAATTGTAAAAAAATTTTAATCTTCAAATTAATAATGAATTTTACAATTTTTCCAAATTAAAAATCAAATTCGATGAAAATTCAATTTAAATTTAATGAAAATAAATAAATTGTTAGTGAAAATTTAAAATAGAATTTCGAGCAAACAAAATTGGAAACACCCAGAAAACTATTGACACGGAAATTTAAGATTAAAAAGCAATAATTATAATTCGTGGCTAATTCAACATAAAAAAAAAAAAAAAAAAAAATTATGTAAATCGTGAGACATCAAAATTGTCATATAAATTTTCCCTTCTAAAAGTGCATTTTTGAAATGTTCTACATCTGCAATGAAGTGTCGAGTTACTGCTTCTGCCTAGCCGGAAAATAACACGAGGGGCGTTGAGCTTTAAAATGTTCCGAAATTATATTCCCACGTTTATAAAATGTCATCCAAATGAAAGAATTTCTAGAATTGAAATTTGAAAATTTTTTTCTCAAAATAAAGAAAAATTTGCAAAAAAAAATTTTCTTATTTGTTGCTATACAATTAAATTCTTTTTTTTGCAATATTTTTTTCATATTTATAAAATTCCTTGACTTTTTCAGAATTTCCAGGATAGCGTTTATGGAGAATTTAAAGAAAAGGAAAAAAAAAAAAATAACGAAGAAATATAAATGTAAACTCCTATTGTTTCATTCGAGAGTACGATTGCAATAGAACGATTGAAATTCCTAATAAAGTTCAATTTTCTTCTCTACATATATACATATGTATGTATATATATATACAATAAGAGACGGTTATTGTCCTGCTCATGTTTTATATGCTCTCATGACTCGTGCGCGCGAATGAGAAACAAGTAAAGTTCAACATTAAAACAATATTCCCTCGGAAACGATTGGGAACTCGACTTTGAATTTTTCCACGACTTGAATTAAAGTGTACAGGCCAATGCAAAAAGTAATGAGAATTTTCAGTTAGATTCTTGGTAATATTCCATGAGAGTGAAAGCTAAAAGTGACTCGCAAGAAAGGTAATATAGTTTTATTTAAGCGTATATATATATATATATAGTTGTAAAACGTCACTATAAACTGTCATTCGATTTGATTGAGTAAACATTTTTGATCTTGCGAAAATAATTATAAAAAAAAAAAAATTTTTAAAAAACATACATTCGTGACATTGATAGCCATTTCATAAGCGCTTCTCCAATATAGTTCCCTATTATTTTCTTTGAAAATTCAATACAATCGGTCTTTGTATAAATGATCACCAATCAATTCAATTTTTATGCCTCACGTCACAAAATTAATTTGCAAAAAAAAACATGGAAAGTTTTTGTAAAACTAAAATTGAAGAAAACTTAAAAAAAAAAAGAAAAATTAAAACTAAAAAGGAAAAATTTTCAATTCTTCCTTTTGGAATATCAACTTTAGAATTTTTTTTAAAGAAATAATTTTTTACAATGAAAAATTCTATAATTTTTTGCCTAAAAAATATTTCTTGTATTTTTCATTAATCAACAAATTATAAAAAAAATATTTTTTAGGCAAAAAATTATAGAATTTTTCATTTTAAAAAATTATTTCTTTAAAAATCGTTTATATAAACGTTGCGTACTTCAGCTTCGTTAGAATTAAAAAAGAAAGAAAAAAATAAAGTGATTTTTTTTCCGAAGAAAGAATCGAAAATTTTTTAAATAATTATAATATTTTTGAGACTTTAGATTTTATCAAATTAACATTTCAGTGAAAATTTAAATTATCATTATTTATTTTCATTGTATTCTTTATATATATATGAAACTCATTCCATTTTCATTATAAATTCATTATAAATCTCATTACATTTTCCATACATTTCCGAGTGTTCTCTTTAAATGTGCATTAGTGAAAACTCTCAGCTATTAATTCAAATTAGTAAAAAGGCATTATATTTGTTATACACTAAATAAAATTAATGAATAAATTTCACAAAACAACAAATACAATACAATGCATTTTGAAAGTCTTTGAAAATAAAAAGAAATATTTAGAATTCTTTCTAAAAAAAAAAATTTTAATTAATATTTTTATCACGAAAAAATTTTTCTAAAAACTAAGTTAAAATATTAATTCCGTAATTGAATGTTGTATATCACATTATATACGGTTAATAAAAATATTTTTATTAATTAAATTTCAATAAATAATTAATTTTGCTATTTAACTAGAAAAATAAATTTTTAATTATTAGTAAGAAAAATTATTTTTAATTGATTACGATTAATGTAAATAATAATGTGTATGAATTAGTAGTAAATTAATTTTTCTATAATGGGTCAAATAATTTCTAATTTTTCGTGCGTTGAGTGGAAAAATAATTCTTGTATTTAGTTTACACGGTTTGTAACTTTCCTCTCGAATATTATCAGAAATGTTAGATATATATATATATATATATAAAGTACAACTTGTTGAAAGGAGTGATTCACATCTATGATACTCTCACTGGCATTACAGACTCTTTTTACACCTACGTACAAAAAGATATCTTTTGCCAAAAGCTTTAAATATATTTTCACAATGCGCTTTTTTTTCATCGAAAATTTTTTTTTAATTTTCTTATTCACGATTACTTTAATTATTCGCCTATAAAATGTAAATTAGACCCAATAACGAATCCAGATTCTAAATAATAAAATTTATAAAAAATTATATTTAAAAAAAATATTAGAGATTTTAATTTATAAAAATAAAAACAATTAAAAAATTTATATTGAAACTGAATATAAAATGCAACATAAATACATAAGTAAAGAAAACTGGATTTCGAAAAAAATATTTTTAACATGTAATATTTTGCAAAATAAAAAAAAAAAAAAATTCGATTACAATAGAGTGTAGGATCTTTCTCAATTTGTTTGTGAGTTGTATTGCGTCAGTCAGTGGGTCGTTTTAGCCACGTGTGTCTTTTCTGAATAACGTATATCACAATAATTATCATATATTTATTATTTGCTTTTATAAAAAAAAAAAATTAGTAATTTTCACCTTCAATATAGATATTTTTATCAGCAGTATAAATATTGTGAAATAAAAAATTATATATAAAAATATCAAATCTTTTTTTAAATTAATAAAAAAAGATATCTAAAAACTTGAAAGAAAAATTATATTTCCACCTGTAGTGTAAATTTTTTTTCATTCAATATTTTTGAATTAAATTTTTTTTCCATTCAACATTTGAATTAAATTATAATATTATTTTTTTTTTTCTGCACATAAGTGAGCTATTTTAAGAAAAAAGAAAACGGCTTCTTGAGGGGGGTGGGGGCGGGACAAAAAAAAATATTTTTTTTTGAATTTCGAAAAATAAAAAAAAAAGTAACATATGTCACCTAAATGAAATCTTACCGCGGTTTGTAGGCCGGTCAAAGGTCCGGTCAGTTTCCGTCACTATATCTATCCTTTTTCAACTTTTATCCGTCCTTGTCTTTTAGACTGTGTGGGGCGAGCCTAAAACTGTTTCTCTGCTCTGATCTTGTCTTCTGAAAAAATCGAGTCCACAATATGTGCATCAATAACGGGAAAGACTTTACATTCGAGGAAAACAAAAAAAAAAAAATTTTTTTTTCTTCTAAGAGGAGCAACACTTTGGAAAAAACGAATATTATTTTCTATTTTTTTAAAATAAGCTTAATTTTTCAAAAAAAAAAAAATACATTTTACAAAACTATTTTTTTTACTAAAAAAATAGAATTAAATTTAACAAAAAATTAGCAAACGTTTATCAAAGTAAATTTATTTTTAAATAAAATTTAGGATGCGAAATATTAAGAAATTGTTTTTATTTTTTAAACAATTCTTTTTTTTTTACTTGCGCCTGAAAGACAGATAATTCTGATATTTCAGAAGCAAAAAAAGAAAGTAAACTACTATTTTTTTGTAAATTTAAAGTCAATGACTTTTTTTTTTGTCAAAATATAATTTTTTAAAATTCGCTTTTTCCCAAGCTTTCGCAATTTTCTAATTTGTCGTTCATGGCAGAAATGCAGAGAATAAAACTAACTACAGACTACAGCGCATGAGCACTCGTTCGAAGATCCTGTTTCGCTAGGCGACATCATTTTCCTTATCCAAGTTCTACTTTTACAAGCTTACTTTCAACAGTAGCTTAAGACTTTATATATACTTATAGAAAAATAAAGAAAAAAAAAAGGAGAGAGAAATACATAGAGATAGAAGACAGAGAAGTATATAGAAAACAGTAAAGCAATCAATTCTAAATTCGTGCATAATTTATTATCGTCTTTACAATCAACATGATTCATTATTATATATTTTCTGAGTAAAAAAGAAAAAAATATATTTTTTCTTTCTCGGTATCAAACTTACTTTTTCGATTAAGCGCGGACATTTTATTTACAAAATGGAATTTTTAAGAAAATACGTTTCTCTCGTCATGCTGACTATTAATAATAATAATATTATATCAAGTCTTACAATTTTTGAAATAATTTTTTATCTCTCTGTCTCTCTGTATATTTTAACACGCATGCTTTTTCATGGGTCATTTATTAATTGAAGGTCAAATTAAAATCGGCTGGGAAAAACTTTCGTCTTCATTTTTTCTTTTAACATTAAATATATTTTAAATATTAAATATTAAATAAATATTTCATATAATAATTAAAAAAAAAATTTATTTAAAATATTTCAAAAACTTTTCATTTAAGGAAAATAAAAATTACTAAATTATTGTTTTACTAATTAAAATGATTTCAATTCAATTATGAAAATAATTGAATAAAAATTGCTCTTACACTCAGAAAAAAATTCGTTTGAAGCAACAAAATTTTGGTTAAATTAACTAAATAAATGCATTGATATACAGTTAACCAAATATTTGGTTGCATAAACCAAACGTTTATTTAGAACAATCAAATTTTTTTTTGTTCAAAAAATTTATTAAAATAAACCAAAAAGTTATTTAGATCAAATAAATATTTATTTGAATTAAACAAATTTTGTTTGAACTAACCAAAAAATTGGGTAAATAAAAAAAAATGGTACATTTGGTTCAAACATATCTTTTTTTTGAGTGTATGACGCGCGATTAAATGCAATAACGTGCACTGAAAAAAAGGATTTGTTATTGACAACCAAACGTTTGGTTGGTATTTAAGCAACCAAAATTTTTTTGTTGAATCAACAAAATTTTGGTTGTCCCAATTAAAATTTAGTTAGGACAAAAAAATCCTTTTTTTCCAACTTTGGCTGAGTCAAACAAATTTTGATTGAGACAATTAAAATTTTGTTGATCCAACAAAAAAATGCTTAAATACCAACCAAACGTTTGGTAATACCAAATCCTTTTTTCAATGTGACTCACTTAATATTAACATTTTGCTGTTATATTTTAAATATGCCACATTTTTTTCCAAATGACAAAATTGTTGTTTAATTGTTTAAACAAATTACCATAAAGTTTACTTTTTTTTTGCGATCAAATTTTATATTTCCATCGCAATTATTAATTAATTTCAAATTTTTTCATATTAAAAAGAAAAATGTAAAAAAATTATTTTTAAAAATCGTTGATTTTAATTTTGGAATGTGATCCAACTATGTTATTAAAGATATATTAAATGTTTTTTTATTAATGAATAAAATGCATTTTAAGCAATATTCAGTTTATTTGAAATAGACAGAGTGATTTTCACCTTGTGGAAAGTTTTTTGGAAGGATAACAAATTTCGTTACTAAAATCATGCCAAAACTAAGTCCCACGATCTTGTCGCTTTTATTATTGAGTTAAGATTTGATTTCTTTGGTGGAAATAAGAACTTTTCTTACAAATAAACCTTTTGAATTTTGAGGAATAAAAATTTTTTATTGAGAAAAAAAGAAGCCGCACAGATCATAAGATTTGAAAAGTAAATTTTTATAAAGTTTGTCCCCAAAAAAAAATTTATGGTAAAAGTTCGTACAATGTTGACAACAATATTTATTTTATTTTTAAACAAAATTTTCATCTGAAAAAATATTTTTCCCTCTGTTATGATCAATTAAAAAAAAATCATTTTTCATTTTCCCTAACAAATAATCTTTTATCCCAAGCTAGAAATTTTTTTTTAAATTATTTGAATCCTCGCTATAAAAATTTTTATATTTATTTTTTATTGTTTCTTTTTGTAAAAATTCTCCGACATTTAAAAGTTTTTTGAGGAGCAATTTAACAAAATCTGATAAATCCTTTTTTGAAAACATATTATTTCTATGAATAAAATACTGAGAAAAAATTTGATTCAAATAATTGACTATTATCAAATAAATATTTACTGGAATCAAATAATTTTTATTTAATAATTATTTAAAATATTTGATAACTAAATAAAAAAAATTTTTTTGCATTATTCATAGAAAACGTTTAAAATTTTTTTTTTTTAAATTTGTTAAATTACTTATTTTATTGTCGCAGGTTTATAAATTTTAAAAGTTATTAATGATGAAAAAATGTCAAGTTTCTTGTAAAAAATGTGGGCTTATTAAAAAAAATAAGACAATACTAATGAAAATATTTAAAATATTTTAAAGACAAAAATCGAAGTTCATAATATATTCTAATCGAGTGAGTCAGATCCTTAAAGTTCAAAAGTTAAAAATATTAATATTGGTCTGTTCATATAAAATATACATTATATACACTATTAACAGAATTGACTTTTTCAATTGTACCGTTACAAATTATTCTCGGCAACTATACAAGATAATAATTATGCTCAAGGCATAAAAACAAGCCCAAGTATAATTTTCTATTATTGATGATCGTCCAAACAATCGAACTCGCATAATTCATTCAGTCTTTTTCTAAATTTCAATAAATTTGAGAAATCGAAAATAATTTTCAAAATTCAAAAATACCATCTTTTTCAAATTAAAACAAAAATTTTGATTTTTTTGAATATCTAAAAATTCAACATTTGAAAATTTCAATTTCAGACAAATATTAGAAAAATTTCGAATTTTTTTTTATTCGAACATTAAATATAGAAAAACTTTTAACTATTTTTAGGGGAAAGTCAGGCGCGAGTGACATATATATTTATAATTTCACTAGATTCATCCACTCTCTTTCACATGAAATTTTTGCACACACACACCATCAGGGTTATTCAGAAGAAAAGTTCATCAAAACTTTTTGCCCTGGGAAAAATATATATACATCCCTAAAATGATAAAGGGTAAGGAAGAAAAAAAAATGGGGGGGACTTGCGAAGTTACAATAAAAAAAATAAAATAAAATAAAACTAAGATGAACAAAAAAGAAAAGGGAAAAAATCGATATGGAAGGGAAGCTAGGGTTTTAGTTTCGAGAGAAACCTCTTTAGAGCGCGGTCGTGCCAAGTTACGCATTCAAAAGCCAAGCATACTTTTACATGGAGGTTAAGCCTTAGCTTGAACAGGTCGCAGCTGCCAGCGGGCTTTGCAAATTTATAAAAGCATTCTCGCTTCATACGTGACTGTACAGGCGAAAGTGCAGACGGGTATATAAGAGAGAAAGAGAGAGAGAGAGAGAGAGATGTGTATATATATGCGATGCGTTATAAGCACATACAGCGCATGAGACAGGAAGACAGAGAGATGAACCATAAAAAGACAAAGATGGATTTCTGAAACAGGAACTCAGAGAGTGGACAGTGGAAAAAGATTGAGAATCGTCCAAACTTTTCGACGTCCGGGGTTGGAAAAAAAATACAATTCACTTTGAAATACAAAAAAAAACAGAAGAAATCTTAACGACACAATAATAAACGATCGTTCAACGTTAATTATTTTCACAAATAAAACTGAGATTTAAAATAAAAGATGACAAATGCCAAAATTTTTCCTTTATTTTCAAAGTGAAATTTTTTTTTAGATTTAAAACAAGGTTTTAGATTTTACTACTTTTAAATAAGTAAAACAATAGAAAGTAGAAAATAATAGCAAAAAAAAAAAAATAATAAAATTAAAAGAAATAACAAAATAAACATAAATAGTTAAAAAATTGAGACAATATAATTTGTTTTTACGTTCAAAAGAAATTTTTTTAATTTCAACAAAATATTTAAATTAAATAAAAATATTTATTTATCTTATTAGAGCCAAATTATTATTTATTTGAACCAATTAAAATTTATTTGAAGCAACTAAAATTAGAAACAAATATTTATTACAACCAATTAAAATTTATTGAAAACAAATATTCTTTTGAACCAATTAAAATTTATTAGAAAACAAATATTTGAACCAATTAATACAAATTATTTGAAACAAATATTTATTTAGCTCTAAAATAAATGCATATTTATTTTGTGTGTAAAAATTCGAAAATTTCGAACAATTACAATTTTTATATGGGGAGAAAGCAAAATAAAAAGTAAAATATTGTTGATAGAAGCAATATTGGTAAAAGTAGAAGAGAAAATATATATAGATATTATCAATCTATTGTATCAAAGAAAAAAAAATATATACATTTTTCTAAGTAAACAAAATGCTAAATTTAACTGGTTTTTATCGATATATTGAGAGAGAGACAAACCTATGCTAACAATAATTTTAACTAAAGCTTTGACAATGATAAGTAGCTTTTAAATTATTATTGTCATCATCAATCATTGATAGTAGAGCTACGTTCCAATTAAGGAGCCAGCTTATGGAATAGGGATGTTATTTCTGACGAATGAGCTTTTCTAGATCCCTTTTAAATTCTCCTTCGCTCGTTACTTCAGAATTTTGTAATAATACTTTTTTTTTTGAAATTGATGAGAGAATTTTTGTTAAAACGGGAATATTACATATTATTTAACATCTGTTCTAATTTAACATTTTTCTGTAATTTTCGTTATTTTAATTTCAATTGTAAATTTTTTAAATTCTAATTCTAAAAATTACATTTTTCTACAATAGAAACAATATTTTCATTTTTCCAAATGAAATTTGAAAATACTAAAAATATAAATTAATGAAAGAATTCGTAAGTAAAAATTGAAATATTCAACTGTAATCAATATTCAAGTGAAAAAATTCCAACTTGACAAAATAAATATTGGAATTTCCATAAAATATTTCAATACAATTTCATTTATATTCGATTAAAAATTGTCCAATACCGAAGTAAAAGTTGAAAATATACTATATAGAATATATTCTAATAAAAATTGAAAATACAGAAATGTTAAAAATTTTAAATAAAAGTTAAAAATAGTCAAGTAAAAAATTCAAGTAATGATGGTATTCATAAAAAAATTGAAAATAGCAATATTGACGAAGCTAAAGTTCGCAACATTTATGATAAACAATTTTTAAAGAAATAATTTTTTAAAATAAAAAATTCTCAAATTTTTCTTGTAGTTTTTAGTAATCAACATATTATAAAAAAAAAATTATTTATTAAGCAAAAAAATTCTAAAATTTTTCAATTAAAAAATTATTTCTTTAAAAATTGTTTATCATATTATAAACGTTGCGTACTACAGTTTCGTCAGAATGTTTTAAAATTTATTGAAATTCATGGCACAAAAATATTTTCATGAATTTCTGGAAAAAAATTGTCAAAACAACCAATTTTTTTTTATAGGAAAATATATAATAGAAAAAAAATGTACAAGAGATCAATAGAAGATATAAAATACTTCTCAGAAATGTGTAACAGAATTACATATAGTTTAGAAACGGTATTTAAAATACGCACACGGAATTTAGTGCAGTCAACAATAAAATTTCAAAAAAAGAACTCGTAAGTAAAAAAAAATGAGAGTTAAAATTTAAAACCTATTTCATCGACAGGTGTTGGGTAACAAATGAGAAGGTAAAAATTAAATATATATACTTTTCTAAAGTTATGAAATAATAAACTATATGATACTCTAGTTTTTCAAGTTGAATATATATATATTTAATAATGTATTTATATAGAAGTTGACCGATGCTAGCTTTCACTTATATATCCTTTGAAAAAAATATAATGCTTTTGGTTACGATGAAAGTCAAAAATAACGGTTTTTAAATCTCTCGATTTTTAAACAACAGCTGTCAAGTAGAACGATAATCAAAACTTATTTTTAAAAGTTTAATTCTAGACTTTTGTATTTTTTTTTCCCCCATTATATTAACGAAAACTTTCGGAACCTATAATATTAATTATTTTCAACAAACTTTTACATATAACGATAAAATTTTTATTTTCAAAAAATCCTTTTCTTATAATAAATCAAAATGCGAGTATTTGAATCAGACAAATTTTTAACTGCCAAATGTTTTTCAGAGAAAAACCGGCTCTCTAGTATAAGCCAAGTTTTGTTTTTGCTGCAATGTTTGTGGCCCATATACAGGCCAGTGACATCAAAAGTTAAGTGAGTGTTGGTGCCAGCTTTTAAAATGATTCCTATGATTTAAAGATTGAGCTTGCAAAGAATATTTTTCTAAGATGATCTCTGTATTTTTAAAAAAAAGGACGTACCATTTGTTATTTATGAATTTTTATTTAAGTAACAGAAAAAAAAATATCCTACATTTTCCCGAAAAAAACATATGTCATCCTCTGTCAAAATGAAAAAAGCAAATTAATAAATACTAAAACAAAAATATAAAAAAAAATAAAAAATTTTTTTTAAACTTTAAAAAAAACCAGAAAATTCTATGAATAAATAAATATTTTAAATTAAATGTTTTTTAATTTAAAAAAGAATTATTAAAATTATTATTATTATTATTATTATTATTATTATTATTATTATTAATTATTATTAATTACATTATTAAAAAATTTGAATTATTTTATTTTTAACACTTTGAATTGTTAAAAATTTGAATGTAGATTAAAAATGTCTGATATAAGAATGATTAAGGTAACATAACCTAAGATATGATAATCATTTCCTTAATGTCAGGAATTATTTTATCAAAAAATTCAACTATTAATAATTCAAACAAAATATAAAATTATTCTCTCTTTGAAATACTGTCTAATTGTTATTCTATTTAAAAATACAAAACTATTAAAAATTTGTCTATTTTTTATTTCAAATTGTTTGTCCAATTCTTCTGAATGTTCTCAACATTTATGGCATTTATGTTATAAACGAAATTCATTTTGTTATTTATTTAAATTTTTATAAACCAATTTTTATATATTTATTTTTATTTCGATACTTTTAAACAATATTTTGGACAAACAAAAAAAAAGTAATCTTTAAGTACGTTCTTTTAATAATAATATTGCGCAAAAACACAAAGTAATACAATAAAATTTATAAAAGAACGCATGACCTTTACTCCGGAAATATAATTTAAATAAATGACATAATATCTATTTACAATATTAAAAATAATTATTTGAAACGAAATATTGTTAAGAGAATAGAAATAATTATAAAAACAATGAGAGATAATAAAACTAATAATAAAGCAAATTATTGCATAATTTATGTAATATACAAGTAATGACAAAAAAAAATAATAATTTAATAATAATTGTAAATGTCAATTTTTAATAATACAACTAATGGACATGAGCAGGAAAATTAAAGATTCTTCTAGATAGATTAAACACGATTGAATGAAAAGAGAAGGAGTGACATTTAAACTTTTAATTGAAGTCCTCGATTAACTATTGATTCACTTTTGACCAACAGTTGGATAGTCTAGAACCCTTTTCTTTTTTTTTTTTGGTCATAAAATATTAACGAAAGCAGACTTTTACGTTACAAAACTTATATTTTCTACGCACGAGACAATAACCGTATTTATAGAAAAAAAAATTAAATAAGCCTTATCACTTTCGTATACTTGATATAAAAAGGCCAACATTATTATATACTATACTTTGGCATTGAAGAGTGACTAGTGAGTGGTGTTGTCGACCATCAATATAATTTTACACCTTCGAATATATAATATAATTTTAAACAATTCCTCTCTTAATGCTTTGTTAAACCTTGAGGGATGAAATAAAATGAGAAAAGAAAAAGAAACATTTTTGAAGTGTCACTTTGTAATAAACCGGGCACAATATGCTTACAGTTCCATTCTATTTCAGGAGATAAGTATCATTAGTCAGCGGTCATGCAGCCCGGAAGATGCAAATTTCAATTACAATCTATTATAATGATCTCTAATTATTAACGTGCATTGATAAAAAATTATCTTTACTCCAAAAAAAAAGAGACAAATGTCAAAATTTTGTAATGATTTCTTTTTCTAATTACCTCTCGCTCCTCGGACAGGATCTCTTGGTTCTTCACGTTCGATTATGGTGTTGTGACACAATCATGATCTTGTTTCGGACTTTTGCAGCTTCCAGTCGAGCCGCGAATTCATCCGTTTTGCACGCCGTCTGGTTCTCAGTGACACCCAGCCATCTTGTGTGCCGCCTGGTTTTTCGACTGGTCGACCTGGTGCGCCGCGTCCGTCCACCTTTACTCTCACAGTTTTCGCCACTTTTCACGCACCTCACGACCTTGCATCCCGTTTAGACACATTTCACACTTGCATAATTTTTTTTTTTTCTTCTCTACACGCACACCTTTCTTTTCCTATTTCAATTTCCTTTTGGCTGACCTCACAGTTTACCAAAAAACGGGTAAACCACGAGTGATTATCCCCGATTTACCGAGACTTTACACATATTTCTTGTTTGGTTCCTCGTCGCGCCACCGCACGTCTGCTGATCGAGGAATCGCTCGGGCTCGACTAGTTGGTTCGGCTTTGCACTCGGATAACTTCGGAGACTCTTGATGGATGCGCCTGCGCACCCATTTAACAACCATTGACAGTGCCGTCATCTCAAAGGGGGATTACACTGTAACAGAAAAAAAAGAAACAAATTAAAAAAAAGGGTTTTGATTATGATTGGCAGCCCGTAGGGCTTTGGAATTTTGGTATAGAAGATGTTCTGCAAGGGACTTAATTTATATAAAGTTAGGACACAAATTTTCACTATTGGAAATCTTTGCAAGAATATTTTATTTTTATTATCCGGAAATATATTCTATTTCAGTGACCAAGTAAAAGAAAAAAAAAAAATGTTAACTCTATATTTAATTAACTTTTGTTCGAATTTTCTTTATCTGAAATCGTGAAATTAATGCAGTTCTTTTTTGGAAACTATCTTTTTCAAATTATTTTCAGAAATGAAAATATTATCTTTTCATTTTGTAGATAAATGAAAATCGTTTTTTTTTTTTTTTAATAAACTTTTAATGTAGTTATCGAAATAAAACAGTAATTTTTAAATAGGGGCGGATCCAGATAAGGCTTTTAGAAGGGGGCCTTTAAGAGGGGGGAAGAGTAGCCATGTTCCTTTCATCTGGATACGTCACTGTTTTTTTTTTCTTAATTTTTAAAAATTAAAAATACCTTTGAATTCTTTAGGAATTACTTTTTCCTCATTGATAATAATTTATTTTATTTAATTTGCATGTATAATTTAAATAAAAATTTTCAGAACGTAAATCATTTTTGTAAATAATATAAAAAATGTTACTATTATAATTAAATATTGAATAATTGAACAGTGAATAAAATTAATTATTAATTTAAATAAATAATTGTTAATTATATTTTTTTAGTTAAATATTAAATTTTTTTTTAATTTTTTAAAAATAAAGAAAATTATCATTTAAAACGTTGAAAGAAGTTATTTACGAAATTGTTTATCTAAATGTGGAAGCTGTGAGGAAAATATTATTTACGTCGTTTAACGAATTATGATTTTTTTTTTTTTTTTTTTCTTAAACATTGACAATGAAAAATATATTTATATTGACAGAGAATTAATAAACAAATTAACGAAAATAATTGAATTTTAACATAAATAGAATGTTAATTTATATTTTTCTCTAATTTTAACTGTATTAGAATTTCGTACATTATTGAATCTAATATCAAATGTAACATTGGCTTGTTAACGCCCCTTCGTTCCGCTATGAGACATAATGAAAATGTCTATTGAATTCCACCCACACCTGTAAATCTGAGTCTCTGGCTCACCTATAATTAGTTTCAACTAATTAGAATTAATCTGAATATGGAAATGATTTCTAAACATATATATTTTACCAAAAGGCATAAAACAAATTAACAATTTACTGAATTTTAATAAATTTTTTTATTTAAAATTATTTCCCAAAGAAAAATTTGTTTTTTCAACTAAATAAATATTTCTCTGTTTCAAATAAAATTTGATTGAAAACAAATTTATTTAAATCAAACAAAATTTTTTATTTCAAAAGAAATATAATTTTATTTAATTCAATTAAATTTTATTTAGCTAATTGCAAGTTATTTAATAATTTTTATTTATTAATTAAAATTTTTTTTTATAAGTTCTAAAAAAATAAGTTTTATATAATGAATTTAATTTGTACTTTATTTTTTTTATATTATGCAGAAAAATGAAGTTTTATATGTGCTAATAAAATTCAGGACACTGAGAGGGTTGCTTTTTATAAAATATATAAAAATAGCGAGCATCTGAAATTTTTCCACTAATGTGTGTGTGTGACTCCTCGACAAGTATCTCAAATAAAATTTGAAAATAGCACAAAACGTTCATAACAAAAACATTACATATTTTCTCGCAGGTATTATTTTAGATTTTCAATGTATTTCATTATACGAATATATATATATATATATATAATATTCATTATATTATAAAAAAAATGTATATTATATATTGAGCAAAAATTTAATTTCAAAATCATCATAATAATTATTGCCTGTTTTCAGTTCGTAATTAATATATAGTTGCACTCGCGATTAAAATCTTGACAACAATTAGTTTCAATTCGCTTGCAAAAAAAAAGAATAATAATTATTATTAGTATAGAAGTGAAACGAATCAATATTAAACTGTGAAAGGGAAGAGAAATCGTGCAATATAAAGTCTTTCGGTAACATTGCGTAATTTTATATACAATTAAGGAAATTAACCATTTCAGTTGAAAAATAATTAACAACATTATTTTTTAATGATTGTTATTTAAATATATAATTAAAATAATTTATACTCGTAATTTATATATACGTATAAATACGTTTATGTCAAATTGTAGTTTAATACTAAAAATATTTTTAATACGAGCTTCATATTATAATAAAATAATAGAAAAAATGAAGTAAAAATTACTTTTCTATTTTTTTTTTTTTTTTTTATAAAAAATTGAAAAATATATTTCCAAATTCCAAAGTGATTTCGAGTTTACATTATGTGAATTCTTTTTTCAATGATTGCGTAATGTATTGAAATAACGAATATCGCACGTGTTTATTTTGATGAAGAATGAATTGTTTTTTGGGTAATTGCGATGTTAATCTTTACGAGGATGAACAGCGCAATTGAAAAAAAAAACTTTATATTCTATTCTATATCAAAATTAATTTACTTGAAATTTTTTTTTTTTATTTTTCTTAATTTGAGAATAATTTTTTTTCCTAGTATACTATTTTAATGCAATTTATTCTTAACCTTGGTATAAAAAAAAAGATTATCAACAATATTTTTAGTATTCAAAATATATTCTTATTTTAAGAATATTATAAGAATAAATTGCTTCTGAAATATTCTAAAATAGAGTATATATTTATAAATATTTTTAAGAAAATTTTTTTATCTCAAATTTAATTTATTCGTAAAATAATATATTTTGTAAAATTAATTATACAAAAAATTTAAAAACAAAGTACGAATTTATTCGAAATAAATTTTAAATGCGTTATAGTATTGAAAAGTGTCAAATAATTATTTTCAATTTAATTTTTCTTTTTTGTCTGGAACAATGAAAAATTTTTTTTATATTTTTTTGTATCAATTTTTCTCAATAGTTCACACTGTGAAAAATTTGATGAATAATAAAATTTCGAATAGGCAAAAATAATAATTTTTTTTTGTTACGTCCCTGACTTTTGAAACTAGCCATATATAGTAAAAGTCAGCGGTTCTCGATTTTATAATTCAAATCAGGAAAAGGACAAAATGCATTACGGTATATATCTCCTTCAACTATATTCTGGAACTATGGCCTGACGATGTTGTCTGGTCACAGGATGTGCTCAGTTTATATATTTTACACTTTACCCGTTTTACCTTCAATAATTTACAGGCTCAACTCTCAAAAGGAGGGTGCATTATAAATAGAAGGACCTACAACAACCTAAAATAATCCCTTGACCGTTTGTTAAAGCTAAAGCCCTAAACAAGTACAACTTTCAGTTTATATTCTAAATACAATGTTTAGCCTCATTTTCATTGGTCTCAAAAATATCAAAAAATTTTCCAAAAAAATTTCAATGTGTGGCAAATTTTACGAAAAGAATCTTCATTCATAGGTTTTTTTTATAAAAAAAATAAATAAATAATATTTTCATCAATAATAATAAAAAAAAAATTCTGGATAATTTCTGATTGGTTAATTTTAAAAATTCGCGCTAAAATATTTCTACCGAATGTTTATTTGAAAAAAATAAAAGTTTTGTACAAATAAAAATTCGAGACTAAATAGAAATTATTTTCAATGAATTTTCGGTTAAATAAAAAAAATTCTGTCAAATAATAATTCAAACAAATTAAAATTCAAAACAAATTAAAGTTCAAAACAAATTAAAATTCAAATAAATTAAAATTCAAACAAAAATAAAAATTTTTCTAAAAGAAAATTCTGTACAATACATTTCTAACGAATAAAAAAACAATTCGGACAAATAAAAATTCGAATAAATATAGAAATTCTGTGAATTATACTGAATAAAACTTTTGATTAAAATTAATTTTATGCAATTTTAATTTTTTTAATTTATCGGTGGTATTTTAATTTAAAAAAAAATTGTATAATATCGATCACTTAATTTTCTGATTTGCGATTACATCTTTCAAATTAATTGAAAAAAAAAATCTTACCTCGCAAATTCATTGAATGTTTTTCAATACGAATTTAACAATAGAAAGGAAAAAATTGAGAGAAAGGAAGGAAGGAGATGTGGTTGGTTGCCTTCTAATTTCTTTTCTCTATACTTTTTTTTGCCATATATTTTAAATTTAAGGGACATTTGCGAATTTCATTATCACTATATTGAAACTATATTTTAATGGCATAATTTTTCAATTTTAAAATTCATGGAAAAATAAAATGATGATTTTAATTAACATATTTAATGGATTTAATTAAAAATTATAGACTTTAATGTTTATTAGTAAAATTAATATTTAATATAAAAAAAGATATATATTTTTTAATATATATTTCATTTTTTTTTTATATTTTAAAATAGGTGTTTTAAATTATTTTCTCTCCTCAAAAAAAAAAAAAAAAAAAAAAAAAAAAAAAAAAAAAAAAAAAAAAAAAAAAAAAAAAAAAAAAAACGTATATGAAAAATCGATACATTTAATTATTAGGAAAGCTTCTTTTCACAATATAGAATAGCAAAAAGTGATTCAGAGAAAATTCCCTAGCGTGACTTTGGTGTGCCTATCAACAAACTTTCTATCCGCACGATCTTTTGCCGAATAATATGAAGCTTTGGTAAATGACGCACAAATGTTTTACCAATAGTTTACTGGATAATTGCACTGAAATTGCTGACTTTTTTATTACCAATGAAAAAAATAGGATTTTCAGAAATTTTTTTTTTTCTTTTTACATTTCCAATTATACTTTTGGATTGTTTTTTAAAAAAAAATTT